GAAGACTAAGACCTGTATTAAACGCTGCTATTCCTTTTTCTGGAATGGCTCACCAAAAGCCTCCTGTCATAGTTCCCATGAATGATAGGAATGGGAATATATCCCCTGCCTCAATATTAGCTTCTTGAGATTTCCATACTCTCATACTCTCTATTCCATCATTCTGTAAATTTAGTTGCAAAAATATCCAGGTCGTTCTCTTGGTTTATCATTTGTATTTCCTTTCTAAATTTTAAAATCTAACCAGGTTTGGGTTTTTTTACATCAAGTGAAACATTCTTTTCTAACTATTGTCTTGACCTGTTACTTGCAAATCCACTTTCAACCCACCTCTATCTTGTCAGATAAAATTTGTTCTACATATGATATTTTTTCAATCACATCTTTTGGACATAGTCTTATCATGGAAGCAGATATCATTACTGACATTGTTATTATTGTGGCTACCATTTTCTGATTCCATTCTTCAAAAGTCATAACCATCTTGTTGACCTGTATATCTTTCCTCTACCCAAAATTTTGTCCTCTCCAGTGTCCAGTCAATCAAATTATGAGTTCCATGCAATCAAGTACTTCCAACCAAAATCAGCAAATTAATGTGCAAGCATGCAGTTTTTCTGGACTCATTTTTGGAATCATGAAATTCCATATCTTGTGAAAATCAAAATAAAATCTATTTCCCATGAAAAGGTGTTTATAATTAATTCAAAAATATTACTATAAAAGATTCAATATACCTTTTTTTTTTGGACCTTTAGTTGATATATAACTTTCTAAGATCAAAATCATGTTTACTTTTTGCTGCTTATTTCATATTTATAAACTTATAATTAAAGTATTCTTTCATCCAGAATTAAAAGCAGACTCACCTGACGTTTTCAAACTTGTCATTTTGAAGATTTCCAATAGCTTAGAAGTAGTTAATGAGCAATTTCCATGAGTGATTTGCAAAGTGCAGTTTGCAAACTTAGTGTCTTTTAAAAGTTTCCACTGTGATTGTGAGCAAGATGATGACACCAATTGTTTTTCAGTATTCAAATCTCAGAAAACCAATGTCCTACAGACTCCTGAGAAACAACTATCCGGAGCACACATGGGCAATCTTCCATCCTTATTTGGAGATGTTCCTAGGACCTATCCACTCACCAGTTCCTCCTCCTTTGCCATGGTCATTGGCTGTCCTTTTCCAGAGCTGTCTTCAATTCTCCATTCTTCCCCTGGAAGTCCCCACAAATACTTACATGTTTTAGTAACATTTGTTAGTTAGAAAACCTACCAAACTCTTTCTGAATTTTATGTCCCTTGTTTCCATACTGCAATTAACAAAAATGTATAAAATAAATGCAAATAAACTGAAGAATCCTGAATCAATATCAGATTCAGCATTTGAATGACAGCACAATTAAATTATGTGTTCCATGTAATTGAATACTTCCAACCAAAATCAGCAAATGAATGTGCAAGAATGCAGTTTTTCCAGATTCATGTAGTTCTTTCAGATGTCACCAAGCCAATTAAAGGTTTATTTTCCACTGGAGTTGCTGCTGCCTTAGATTGATACTAGAAGCACATGAAAGAGCTATGTTTTCTGAGCATCTCTGGAAAGTAATAACTGTACATTTTGGAATGAAGGAACCCCAAATTAATTAACTAGCTCTTCTGTGTTCATAAAGTAGCAAATTCATTCCAGAGATCCAAGCATATTACTGATTTCATTTGTTTTGTAGTGGCTGGAAATACTTGTATACTTATCTGTATGAAAAGAGGGTAGGTGAATCTCCATGGATTTGTTTTGTAATGAAGCCATAAATCACTCCAGATTGTACAGTGATAGTGCTTTCTGTGTTTTTGTATTTCCTGTACAAAAAGTAAAACAGCCTATTTTTCAAAAGTCCCTCTTTCAAGTTCATTGGTATTGAATAATCTTCATCTAACATCCAGCTGTTACATCTTGAGAATCTGGAGTTGCAACTGCTGTCTCTTGAGCATGATGATGCAGGAAGTGTTGCACTTATACATGAACCACAGACCTAACAGTTTATTTGCCTTTCCTCAACACCCCTTCCCCCACCATCCTGTTTTGTTCACTTTTGAGATCTCACTTCAATCAACCCTGCCTGGTTTAGGCCTACGAGGAGGCACAGATGGTTTCTGTTGGCTAATATTTCATGCTGACCTTTGATCGATGACCCCATGAACCCATTGCTGCAGCTTTGCAAAAGGGCAACTTTCTTTGGCTCGGATTGCTTGTGATAATAACTCTAACATTAACTGGCAGATGTTCTTCATTCATGTGAGAATGCTGGGTGGATCTCTTGCTCCAACAACTCATTTGCTTTTTTAGAAATCAAGAATTGGGAACACAAAGCTAGAAACTATTGTGGATTAAGAAACCTGATTTGTTTCTTTATTAGAGTTGTTGGATTGCCAAGTGTGTGTGTGTGTGTCTCATGTCCCTGTCCCTTTAACACAGCTTCTTTGTGGGAATAACATCGTAGGGAAATTTCTCCTGATGCAGAAGATAAGAAGCTTGTAAAGTCCCACCAATAAATTTTTGTGTCTTTAAATTGTTAAACTATAAAGATGCTAATAAAGAAGAGAAGCTTCATTTTTGCGAATCCTCATATATCATGATTTTTTGTGCAGTTTTGAAAGAGAAAAACTGCTTTCCAACTCCTATTTTAGCAATGCTTTTGCAAATAATATTTGAGGACAATATTTTATATATAACACATGAACAGGATTGGGGGCACCATTTGACTTTTTTTGATACCCATCCATCCTTTGGAAACACTTCTGTTAGTTTCCATATCTTCCATACATTGTGGAGATATTTGGGTGGAGATAATTCCAACTCTTTTTTTTTTTGTTTTCTTTTGATGAAACAGTTCTCTGCCTGCTGAGCTCTTTGAACTGCTTACTATGATGTTTAGGTTGCAATGAAATAGTAGTGCTTTTCTACATTGCCTCACATACCAGTTGAAAGAGACTGCTTTTCTGTGAAATTAGTTTCCAAATATATTTGAACATCTGCAAGCAGAAACCCCTCCCCTCCAAACGATTATACAAGAGATAAGATTGCTGTGAAAAAAACAAATGTCACCTCATTGCCTTCGAAGCAATATTATTATAGTGCCAATAATTCTCCAGGGTAATTGACTTTTATAATTAGGGTTGCTACCTTGGCATTGAAATTCAATATTTTAGTTTCTATCAATGTGCAGAAGCATTCAGATTAAGTTTTTTCAGATAAAATAGGAGGGCCCCATAGGTCATTTCCCTAAAACTCTCTTGCTTTATGCTATTATTTTCATGAAGCCTAGGTGAGCAGTTGCTTTGCTCAGTCACAGGAGAGAAATCATTCGATATATATCTTTGGATTGGCACACTCTTATTAGTAGTTTAGCTTATACCCTCTCTTCATTTGATGACCACTTCCAATGATAGGGTCATAAGAAAAATGGTCACTAAGGGAACATATGACTGAGAGAGCTGAGAAGATCAGTAATTGTTGCCATCTTGTGCAGATAAAGTTCTCTCCTACGGTGTCTTTCCCCCTACTTTTTGCCCCTGTTGCAAGGTATCTCTTCCTGAGCTGCTCGTCTCTGCAGCTTAGCACTTTCTTAAAGTTCTAAGGGAAAATTAGTAAGATCAACTCTATGACCTTAATGAGCTGATTAGAACCCTGGGCTCCCTCTCTCTTGCTTCTTGAAACTGACCAGCTTTTAATCAGTTTCACACTGAAGTCACAAAGGTACTTTTTCAAGAGGCAACTGGACTTCCTAGTTTTTCTTTGAAGACATTTCACTTCTCATTCAAGAAGCTTCTTCAACTCTGACTGGATGGTCAGAATGGAGAATGGAAGGATTTGTACTCCTTGCAGACAGCTAGTCAGTTGAATTCTTTTAGAGAGTCACTGAGGCCACCTGGAGGTTTATCTGTGTCCTCAGGGTCACCTGAGTAGTGCAAATGGGTGTGGAGCCTTCTTGAAAGGACTGTGTTGTAGACTGAAGATAGATGATGTTGTATCCCTCCCCCTCTCTTAAGAGAGGGCTGTTCAGTTTTGACATAGATGGCCTCTTTGACTCCTTTTTCCAACCAGTAGTCCTTTCTGTCCAAAATGTGGACTTTGCTGTCTTCAAATGCAGATGGACTGCTGAATCTTGTTCTGATGGGTTTGTTCTCCTACATTGTGCCATGCATTTATGAAGTGGTGTTTCGTTTCCCAATGTACAGATCTGCACATGGCTCATTGCATTGTACTGCATATACATTGCTCAGTTTGTGTCTGGGTGTTTTATCCTTGGGGTGGACAAGCTTCTGTTTTAGTGTATTCTTGGATTTGAAGTATGCACATATGTTGTGTGAGCTGAAGATCCTCCTGAGCTTTTCCGATAATCCTGCAACGTATGGAATGACAATGTTGCTTTGTTTATTGTTCTCTTCATTGTCTGTTATGGACGAGCTCCTGTAGGGTCTTTTTTGAGATTTGATGAAGGCCCACTTAGAATAGCCACATGTTCTGAAGGCTTCCTTGATATGTTTTGGTTCTTTTTCTTTTCCATATTTGCTGGTAGGCAGGCTTTCAGCTCATTGGTGTAGGGTGGTGTAGGGTTCTCATAATTCCCATTTTGTGCTCCAGTGGGTGGAAGGAATCAAAATATAAATATTGATCTGTGGGGAGGGGGGGTTACTGTAAACTAAATGTTAAGGCTACTGCTTTCCTTCAAAGGAAAACCAGAAATCCAGTTGCCCTTTGAAAAAGCACCTTTGGAACATGACCTGGAGGATAGAGAATTTCCAAGGACAGTTTCACACTGAAAGCTCTTGTCCTAAACATCACCCAGCTGACCTTTTGCCTAAGGTGGCACTAGAACTCATAGTCCCCATCAGAAACAGTCATGTTTTGTATTGTTGCCTGATTTCCTTCAGTACTCATTCTATAGTTATATATTTCTATTTCAGTCTCACAATGTAAGCAGTTGTTATTGTTGTTTTAGCGGTGAGTCTAAAAGCTGGGAACCATGACAACTCACGTAACCCTGGAAGATGCTCTGTCCAATGTGGACCTCCTGGAGGAGCTGCCATTACCAGATCAGCAGCCATGCATCGAGCCACCTCCATCATCCATTATGTACCAGGTAACCAATATTTCCTTAGAATCATACCTTAAAGTAACTCATCAATCATACTTTGAAGAGAAGAAGAAAGTTTGTCAATGGGGAAAATATTGGAGAATTCCAAGAGGCAGATAGAATAATGTGGAAGAGGACAAGTAAAAAAAAGAAGTAGGATAAGAACGTTAGCCATGTGATAGTTTGGCTGTAAAGCTGTATTCTCATTTAGTGGCATGAAAGCAAGTTAATATTTTTTTGTACTCATATCTTCCCTCCTCCAGGAATTTGGAAATTTTTGGTTCTTCTTTCATTTTAATTTCTTACGAATTTTGTTTGAATCTGATGGAGAAAGATTAGTGGGAATTATATGGACTGGCTTCTTTTGACAAAGCATTTAAAATTAGTTGTTATGCAGACTTTTAAGAGATACAAGCTTGGCTAAATTTACTGGTTTCCTCCTAATATCAAAATACGTTTTTGCTGTTATGATAAACACAAGCCATAGTTTGTTATAGAACAGTTCTATTGCTGCTGCTTCAAAGTTCAGCAAATCTATATATTCATATAGCAGTACTTCTTAAAGTGTGATCTTAGGATTCCCATCAAACAGTTGTGAGATGCTCTAGTATCAATTTCATTTCTACCAATGAATGCAAAAATGTTATTTTTTAATAAGGTAAATATCAATAAATATATTATAAAAATGTTTTTTTAAACTTTCCCCTCTGGGTTTTGCATGTGAACTAAAAAGGGATTTTGTAGTTATGTATATACCCAAGTGATCAAATGTGCAGTTATCATTATATAATGCACTATACACTTGATCTTAGCCAAGCTTAGTTAAATCACTAAATCACTGTAAAGCTAATATTTTTTTTATTGTTTTATTTTTTTCTTGCTTTATTCTGATTTATCTTATTGGTACAGTAGTACTATTCACTAACAGGTTTTTTTTATATTGAGATAGATAGGTAACTACATTCTGTTACCTGATAACTGTTTTATAGCTGTTTAATTTCTTATGCATTATTTCTATAAAGTGTTATATTTTTCATTTTAACTGGTTTCACATTGCTAAGGTAACTCCTACAATAGGACAATGGAAAATCTCTGAAAACAAATGAAAACCCAAATAAAAATAATATTTAACTATTTCTTTATCTACTTTCAGGCCAACTTTGATACAAATTTTGAAGACAGAAATGCTTTTGTAACTGGCATTGCTAGATACATTGAGCAAGCAACAGTGCATTCTAGCATGGTAGGTATCAGGTGATCCAGAGCTGACTAAGGGGATGCAGGGTAGACTGTTATGTGACAACTAGTGCTATTACATTGTCCAAATGTGTTTCAGAATGAGATGTTGGAGGAAGGGCATGAATATGCAGTAATGCTTTATACTTGGAGGAGCTGCTCCAGAGCTATTCCCCAGGTAAGATGTCAAGTTAAATTGTAATACACTTCAATTAGAGAGAAGTTTCTGTCAAGAAGAAATTGAAATATTCTCTAAGAATGCTATAAGCTTTTCTTTTTCTCAGAAGACACTCTAATAACTTATAGGACCCAAAGAAAAATGACCCATTGTGACCAGCTTTTTACTACCTGTGTTTCCAAAGGAACAAATCACTAATAAATAAGCATTCACTCAGATGATTTTATTTCTTATTTAAACCTACTATGGACAGTGTAGTGCTGGATTAGAGTGTAAAGACACAGGTTGTAGTCTACTCCAAGCACAGATTCTGGTTGGGTGAATTTGGGCCAGTCAACCTCTAGACTAGGAAGTTGAAAAAAAATACTACAAACTCACTTTGGACCATTGGGTAAATTACACTCCATAATCTTCAGTTAAGAGAATTTGATCCTGTAGTTAATTGACTTGACACTTGATAGGTAAACCAAAATGCCAAATCCAGTCTAAACATCTGGCTGACTGCGCAACCAACCATAATAATCTATTTTGTGTTATAATGTTAGATGAATAGAATAGAATAGAATAGAATAGAATAGAATAGAATAGAATAGAATAGTTTATTGGCCAAGTGTGATTGGACACACAAGGAATTTGTCTGGGTGTAAATACTCTCAGTATACATAAAAGAAAAGATACATTTGTCGAGTCAAGAATCATAAGGTACAACACTTAATAATAGTCATAGGGTACAATAAGCAATCAAATCATACCAGGAAACAGTCAATATAAATCGTAAGGATACAAGCGACAAAGATACAGTCATACAGTCACAAGTGGGAGGGGATGGGTGATAAGGAGTGATGTATCTAGAATAGTATGCATAACTAATAAAATACGTAATAAAATCAACAAATACAATTATAGTAAGTCAAATGCATTATTATGCTTTTCCCCAGAACATTCATATCAAAGAGGCTGGAATGAAGAAATGGGTTTTCAGCAAGCTAAATGTAAAAGACAAAAGTATTTGGCTTCTGAAAAGCTTGTGAATGCTATTCTTTGGCAAAAAATATATATATAAATTAATGTAATAAATGAAGTAAGCATCAGCAACATTGGTTCATTCTGATCTAGAGAACAAATTGTATATAAAAGTGTCATCATGTAAATGATGGAATATTCCTAGTACTAATAACTGTCTGACAATTTTGCATTTTTCTCATTTAGAAGCCTTTTATCTGACAACTGATTATGATTTGTCTATGAAAGCCCCTCCCATTCTAAATTGGTTTTATCTGAAAAGCACTCCAAGATCTTTTGTTTTTGCTACGTCAGACTTTTAAAACTGACCCTTTAAAAATGATCTTGCTCTATGTCCCATGGATCTTCTTCATCATGTCCATGAGGACTACTAATATCAAATTGTTATGTTAACTTTCAGGTAAAGTGTAATGAGCAACCAAACCGAGTAGAGATTTATGAGAAGACAGTGGAAGTCTTAGAGCCAGAAGTGACAAAACTCATGAAGTTCATGTACTTTCAGGTAGGTGTTCCAAATTCCTATGCTTCACTTGGGTCCTCTTCACTTATTATTATGAAAAACCCTGGGTGTAAGATACTGTACAAATAAAAGGTCAATATAAATATAAATAGGTCTTCTATTGGTCCAGAGTTACCCTGTGGTAAGATGGGCAACTAATAAATTTGATAAATAAAATAAATAAAAAAAATATCATTTTTTCAGTAAACTTACCCAAGACATGATGATTTTGCTAAGTGCTATTGTTCTTTTTCCTACATGGTATCTTATTTTGATTTAATTTGTAATTTGTAATTTAATTTGTAAAAGAGGGCAGTATATCTAAAATTGTATGAACAAATTTCTGCTGACTGTATAAATTGTTTTGAAAGACACAATATTCTCCAGAGGCAGATTTGATGGGTGTCGGGAAAAGCTAGCATTCAATCCGTTTGCCATTTTGTCAACAAATGAATGTTATCGGATGCCACACAGACAGTACTCAAGTTCTTGTCAATATTGGCTGACCTTTCCTTCTGCTTGCCTAAAAAAACTAGTTACACAGATGTGGGAAAACCATTCTCTAATCTAATGTGAGGTACATTGTGGTCGGTTTTGAAAGATGTTTAACTGCACCGCAAATCATAGTCCAAATAAGCAAACCCAAGGACATGGCCCCGGATAATGAAAGCCTTTTAAGTTGGAAGATAATATGATAGAAATAGACTAAACTAAAAGTAACAGGAGAAATATTTTAAATACTTTATATTTTAACAGTATCATAGTTGTGGGCTACTCAAGTGCACAAACATACAATTAGGTGATACCATCGAAAAAAATATTATGGTGTGGTGGTCACTTTTTGCATAATTGTGTCACATGAAGCACCATCCTGCTCAGATACATTTCACGATCTAGTGCAAACTGAGGAAAATATTTGCTCAGTTAAATTCTTTAGAGGAGTAGTAAATAACAAAATGTCAGTTTTCAAACAGATAATTTGGTGAGGCTTTAAAGAAAAAGTCCAACTACCAAATGAAAAAAAATCAGAATCAAGGCCAGAACTCTCAAAATTCAGCCCCATACCATGGAGACAGCAGGCTAATGGTGGGTGCTAAAGAAAATATCTCCAATGTGTACTTTCTAAAAAAAAAAATAGAAACAACGAAAGCAAGATATGCATCATGCCAAAGGCAAAACCAGGAAAAATGGAAGTTAGCCACCACACACATATTCATAAGGAAAACAAGGCATAAGAGCTGGTATACAAAAACAAATGCTTCACAATGATACATTTAGCATAGCCAAAAGAATCCCTTCTTTTTCAATTCTCCAAGCACTAGGAAGCTTCCTAGTATTTTCTCAGCTTGTTTGGAGTATTTTCTGGATGTCACAGTTTGGGCCAATTTCCATTTTTAGTTTCTTAGAATGTTTCACTAGACCAGGTATGTTGAGGCCAATAGATTAACTGGATGAATAAACAACAATGAATTAACTCTTTAGGAGGTGGAAATAAAGCAGGTTCAAGCTTAGATCTGAGATAGTGGAATTTCAGGCACTTAATAAAGCCTCATTTCTCACCCATTATTGACAGTTCCTCCCTTTTTACTCCTTCTTTAAATTACTGCTGTCTTACTATTTCTTAGAGAAAGGCCATTGAACGATTCTGTGGTGAAGTCAAGCGTTTGTGCCATGCAGAGAGAAGGAAAGACTTTGTTTCAGAAGCGTATCTACTGACATTGGGGAAGTTTATCAATATGTTTGCAGTCTTGGATGAATTGAAGAACATGAAGTGCAGTGTCAAAAATGACCACTCTGCTTACAAAAGGTGAGATTAATACATACATGTGTATTTTCATAGGGCTTATTGCTGGGATAAAGATCCAAAGTTAATAGTATTTAGTCAAGAGGCTTCTAAATCCTGTTTTGTGTCAAAATATATTTATGGTGGAATAAAGATAATGAAATGACACTCTTGTATTGCTTTTGTGCTCTGTTTTATAAGTCTGTGTTACTCAGCAATATGCTAGTATGATGTTCCAACTTATCAACAAAATTGATTTTCTCTTTTTCAGAGCAGCCCAGTTTTTAAGAAAAATGGCTGATCCTCAGTCTATTCAAGAATCACAGAACCTGTCCATGTTCCTAGCAAACCATAATAGGATCACTCAGGTAGAATGTTTTCTTTTATCTTTTTTCCCACATATTATGATATTTAAATAAGTTTAACCTGACATGTATGCTTTGGACTTGAGTCTGGAGAACATAGTACATCATAAGAAATATATTTATAACTGTTAGGCCTTATTTGTATTTGGGACTTTGGGCCTTATTAAATGCAAGTTGTTACATAGGAAATTAGTCAGCTTGGACTATTTATGAAGCACTGGGCATTATGAAATCAATATAGATGGCACTTATACATCAACTCCATTAAATAACAAACACTGTGCTATGAAATAGCAAATTTCGTGCAAGGCTTTTAACCACATTTCCATAGCAACCAAATACTGTGTTTTTTATTCAATACAACAGATGCATTCACACACACATACACACATACAAATACATAGAAACACACATATACACAGAAAGAGCGAGAAATGCATAGAGTCAGGAATACACCCTGATAATAATCATTTGGCATAATCCACTACTAAATCTCTTGTCCCTATACCATTTCAACAAAATAATATATATATAGCTCAGGGTTGAACTATGGAGTTCTTGCTGCTTTCTGAGCTAGGTTGTTTGCTTACCAACATTTCATTATCCAACTCGGTAACATCATCAGTGTCACTGAGAGTAGGGTGTGCTGCCTGTTTATGTATAGTAATTTGCCCTGTGTCAGGGTTTGGTTTTAGTTTTTTGCAGAGGGGAGGTGTTGATAGAGGATGACAGAGAAAACCAAGAACTCCACTTCATTTTTTTATACAAACACTTAAATTATTGCTTTTGCAGCCTTTGTAAACAACTATCTTGCAAGCTACTAAATGTAGAATTGGCTAGTGCAGAAGTCAAAACTATTGCCTTTTCAAAAAGAATGGTGGTAGCAGAAATACATCAAGAATGGGCAGATAGGTATAGGAAAGAGAGGTTTAATTGTTCTTATACTAACCAGCACTGCATACAACTATTAGGAGCAAAGGCAGTGCTTGATGTAAGCAGTACTCATTTAAATTAATTCCTTGCCTATACATTGCAAGGAAGATGCTAAATTAAACTTTACAACCTTTTATTTCATTCCCATTGAAAATTTGTGAAGGTCTTGTGGAATTTTTTTTTAAGTGCTTGCATCAGCAGCTGGAAGTAATCCCTGGTTATGAAGAACTGTTGGCTGATATTGTCAACATCTGTGTGGATTACTATGAAAACAAGATGTATTTGACACCCAGCGAGAAGCATATGCTTTTGAAGGTAACTTCTTTTAATTCTCCGCAAATGTATTTTAGCCATCTTTCAGTATTTTGTGTTGTCTATTTTCATGATGCATGCCTTGGTGTGGTTTTTGGTTTTTGGTGGAGTTTTTTTGGCATTTTTCTCTTTGTAGACTGTATACAGATTTTATTTTTAACTTTTCCATGAAAAGATAACTTCTGGATTATTAAAAGAAAGATTTAAAACTATTTAAAAATACATTCAAAAAATCCTGCAAGTCTTTTTCCGAGTCAATTTGAAAATTCTTTATTTATATAAGGGATTGAAGCCTGTGGGTCATAGAAAGGCCCTAATATTTTGTGTGTGTGCACTTTCTAAAAAGTGTTGCAGTGCAAATGGAAGATGTACAAGCAAGCCAAGATAAAATAACTTTACATTCAGAAAACAGCTGCCAGTCTGGGTGGACAATATTGAGTCAACTGGACAAATACTTTGAAGCAATTTAAGGAAGCTTCCTTCAGAAATCAAAAGTATGTTATGGTTAGTTACAGAGTAAATGTAGTCTCAGATATTATGAGAGAGATTTTTTTAATTGAAAATTTATGCATGGAATATGGTCTTTTCTTTCTTTCAGACAGTAACTATGAAATGACTGACAAATATTCAGATATTGCTCGTATTTTTCTTTTAGGTCATGGGTTTTGGTCTGTACCTGATGGATGGAAGTGTCAGTAATATTTACAAATTAGATGCCAAGAAGAGAATCAACCTCAGCAAAATTGATAAATTCTTCAAGGTCAGTGTCTGACTTGGCTCTGGTTCATGATTATTTCCAGAGGAACCTGAGATTATCTGTATTGGTATTGCCTAGGGATAAAGCAGACGCTGGAGGATTTGACATGCTGGAACCAAAGGTGTGATTGAATCGCAAACATCTGAATATTTTACTGCTGCACAATTGAAAATAAGCATTTGGGGTTTTTTATTCTGTGTTTTAACAGCATGCTAATATTTCTGCACAAATGTCCTGATTAAAATCAGATCCATACAGATTAATTCCATATCTACCAGATTTCACCTCAGCACAATAAACCCTGATAATCAACAGCAGGGCATGTATCATAGACAGGAATTCTTCTGTTTAGCTTGCCTTCTTCAGGGAAAACCTCGTTCCTGCAATGGACACAGCTACATATATTGGGACAATAGGCTGATCATTTTTTAGATAGTAGTGAATTCCTTAATAGAATGTGAGTTACTGTGCACAAGCTTTTCCATTCAGATACTTTTGTTTTTAATTTTCATTTTTTTAAATTAAATGCAAGAAAAGAAAGAAAAAGAGAATGTACAAAATTATAACAGAGAGGGGAATTAAAACAAAAACATACAGGGTGTGCATATTTACGGAGGCACATACATCAATAAATGGAAGCCGTGGTTTCCATTCACGTACTTTCTGAATAAAAAATGGTGTGGATAAATGAGAGAAGAAAGAAAGTTCTTATGGATTTCACTGTAATGGCTGACTGCAAAACTCATAATTTGGTTGGTTCTTTCTTATGATACATCCCCCTCAGTCCTCTCTTTTTTAAAAAAAATTCAATTGTGCACTATTTTCACGCTGGTACCAAACTTTTAAAAACATAGTAATGCTGACTTTGGCTGATCTCTGAAAGTTAAAAAGGGCTGGACCTGCTGGGAGGTCATGCTATCCCTTCTGTTCTATTGTGTAACAGTGGAAGCTATCCAAAAATGGCAAAGCTATAGAAGAGACTAGATTGAGAAGTCTTTTTTTAAAAAAGGTCTTCCAGAAGAATATAGCTCTGAATAGATGCCAAGGAAATCACCAGTGAGTCCATCAGAAGTTAAACTCAATTGGAGGGAAACTTTATTATCATTTTTAGTTCATTGAAAAACTGAACTGCATAAAAAGTATTCTGTTTGTTTCAGTCTTGGTTGACTTAGCTCTTAACAACCAGATCAAGCAACAGCTGCAGTGGTTTTAGGTAACAGATAGATTTGTGTAAGTAGTATTACCTGCTGATCTCAATTCCAACCTAGAATTTACTATATGTTTTGCCAAAAATGGTTCCCATATGTGGACTAATTAGAAGAATAGGACCTTCACGTGATAGAAATTTCGACCCACCTTAAAAAGTATGACTAATCAACTGTAGAACTAGCATCGGTCATGTGTGCCTCCTGTATCAAGGTGAAAAAATGTCTGGCCATTTAGCCTGCTTCTTTCTTTTATCATGGTACTTTTCCATGCTGTGGTGCATTTTAAACAAAGGATGTAGCATTTCTCCTGCTGAAAAATTGTGGAGAAGTGAAAGGTGATTTGAGAATTAAAGTTCACAATTTTCTACAATTGTTTGCAGAAGTTTTGAAAGTTTCAAAATAGCAACCATTGTATATAAGCAGCCAAACATAGTTCCTATTTATCAGGGCAACAGATTGTTGCTGTAAAACTTCAGGTGCCTTCTCCAGTGGCTTATTTTATAGCAGTTCAGTTTGCAGCATTGCTAAATGCTTATTCTTGCAAGTTCATTAAAACGACTACTTTCCATTGTTAAGTGAAACTCAGAAACTACTACATTGTACTACTACTACATCATCTCTAATTACTAATTACTAACATTCTACCTACTGCTGTTCAAACATAACAGTATGGGTTTCATTTAGCAAATGAAGGAAAGATGAATGAGGTGAATACGTCACCTCATTTTGATCTAGTCTCAGACCATCAGCAAGGTTGACTGCTAAGGATCTTGCTTAATTAAAAGACCAGATTTTAAATTAAGATATTCGTATGCTTGTTCAACTTCACCATTCCTTGAAGCTATTGCCTAGTTCCAGAAAGAATTCTTCTGCTTACGCATATGCCTGTGAATGAGTGCTGATATACTTGTTTATTCTTCTTCTTGCATGCAAATATTAATGTGATTTCATGCATTTGTCAAAAATTAATATGAAAATTTCTTCCATAAGCTTAATGTTTGGAGTGCAAGAATTTCAAAAATGGTACCCAAAGTTTACAGTCCTCATTATCACATGATGTCCACTGGATTCTTGTACCTGTTTAAAAAATAGTGTTAAATCTCTGCCAAGCACAGTGTAGATCTATTATAAAACCTATTAAATATCTGAGTTAGACTTCTATAGTCTTCAGTTACCTAATATCTCTGTATACAGTTAATCTTTTTAACTCACAGTAACTGGCATTGCAAAACAGTGTGATCACAAAGCACAATCTCCATGCCAACTTACAACAGCAATTTCGGCAGTCCCAGTTGGCATTGGTAGGTAATCCCACATGGTTGCAATGGCCCAGGGTCAAGTGGTCGCCCTTTGTAACCTCCTGCCGACTTCCCCATTGACACTGCTTGTCTGAAGCTGACAGTGAAGGTTGCAAAATGTGAACATAAGACCGTCAAACGCTGCAATGTCATAATTGCAGTGTTTTTTTCTTTTTTATATATACACTGAGAACATACACACCAAAGACAAATTCCTTGTGTGTCCAATCACACTTGGCCAATAAAGAATTCTATTCTATTCCATTCTATTGCAAGTTGGTTTCCAAGTGCCCAAATCGCAATCACTTGATCACTTCAGGGGTAGTTATACACTTCCCTCAGATCTTGTAACTTTGAACAGTTGCTGAACAAGGACCTATTAAATAAGGACTATCCGCAGGTTAAAACATTTACTTTACCAAAAAAAATATATCAATGAAATCCTCTTTAATCCTAGCTCTGCCTCTTTAAGTGTAATGTGTTAGTAACTGGCTGTTAATTGATTGATTCAACTTTGATGATGTAATTCATAGTGTGATGATGTAGTTCTATTTGAGTGGAGTGAATGATTCAAATAAATCACTGTAATCAAAAATATTTTTTGGAGAAGGATGGAAATGGGAAGCCACTTTTTCTAGGAGATTCTCTGTCATCTAAGTCATGGTTGTCTCAAACTTGCTTTTTTCAATAGGTAACTGGACTTCCTTTGTTTTTCCTTGAAGAATTTTCACTTCTCATCCAAGAAGTTTCTTCAGTTCTGACATGTAGAAGAACTGAAGAAACTTCTGGGATGAGAAACGAAATGTCTTCAAGTAACAACAAAGGAAGTCCAGTTGCTTTTTGGAAAAAGCACCTTTGGAGAAGAATTTTGATCACATGTCCATGGAAATGCTGCAATGGTTGTGTCAAAAACAATGATAAGTCACTTTTTCGGTGCCGTTGTAGCTTCGAATGGTCACTAAATGATCTGCTATAAATTGAGGATTACCTGTAGCAGTATCATGTGAAAACAAAACAGTGGCTCTAAATTGCCTGGCCAAGGGCATAAGTGGGTAGAGCTTCTATTGCTTTAATGATTGCCTAAAAGAGGAATGTCAGCAGAATTAGTAAAAGTGCATCAGCATTAAGTTCTCTTGAACCTGGTCACCCTAATGTGATTGTCTCAACCCAGGAAATATATATTCACCGTTTACTTCCTGTTTTGCCTCCCGCTGCCATTACCCAGCCTCCAATCTCAACACATTTAAACACTTGTTATACAGACAGGAAGATGGGATTTCTGCACTCATTATGAATCTTGAATCACATATTTCATTTATTAAATATGAAGACAAGTCTTCTCAATTGTCTCAGATTATTATCGAGTCTCATAGAACTAAAAATGAAAATAGTTTTGGCTAAGGAAAAAGGAAATTTACATTCATATACAAGGTTTCAGTATATGATAATATGCTTCACTTGAAGCAATTACCTGAATTTATTAATAATCTTGGATTACCATTATATGCCCAATTATATTGATAAAAACAATAGAATAACAATTTCATACAACAACATGAAATGAAATGAAGAAGAACTGAAGAAGCTTCTGGGGAAGCAAAATGTCTTCGAGGAAAAACAAAGGAAATCCACTTGTCTTTTGGGAAAAGCACCTTTGGAGAAGTCCAGGAGCACTCCTGGGATACTATAGTTTCCTCTTAGGGAAAAATCTGTTGTTGTATGAAATTGTTATTCTATTGTTTTTGTCAATAAAATTGGGTATATAATCTCAAATTATTTTTAAGAAATAATCTTTACTGTTAGGTTTTTCAAACATGGCTATTTAAGGCTACCGTATTTGGGTTGCAAAATCTAGAAGTTCATTAGATAGCAGCAAAGATTCAGATTTTTGCAACCTATAATGGTAATCCAAGATTATTAATACATTCAGGTAATTGCTTCAAGTGAAGCATATAATCATATACTGAAAACTTATATATGAGTGTAAATTTCCTTTTTCCTTAGCCAAAGCTGTTTTCATTTTTAGTTCTATGAGACTCATAATAATCTGAGACAATTGAGAAGACTTAGCTTCATATTTAATAAATGAAATGTGTGATTCAAGAGTCATAATGAGAGCAGAAATCCCATCTTCCTGTCTGTATAATAAGCGTTTAAATGTGTTGAGATTGAAGGCTGGGTATGGTAGCGGGAGGCAAAACAGGAAGTAAAAGGTGAATATATATTTCCTGGGTTGAGACAATCACATTAGGATGACCAGGTTCAAGAGAACTTAATGCTGATGCACTTTTACTAATTCTGCTGACATTCCTCTTTTAGGCAATTATTAAAGCAATAGAAGCTCTACCCTCTTATGCCAGGCAATTTAGAGCCACTGTTTTGTTTTCACATGATACTGCTACAGGTAATCCTCAATTTATAACAGATCATTTAGAGGAGTGGTGTGGTGGCCTAGAGCTCTTGCCTCATAATCAGGAGGCTGTGAGTTCGATCCTAGGTAGAGGCAGATCTCTCTCTGGGCACAGAGAGAATATATCTGCTGAACAAAACTCCGCGTTGGTGACAGGAAGGGCATCTGGCCATTAAACACTCTGCTAGCTCCATGCAGTTGTCCAGACTATACCCTTCAAGGGATTATGTGGTTGTTAAAGAGATGATGATAATATATCATTTCGAGACCATTCAAAGTTACAACGGCACCAAAAAAATGACTTATGACCATTTTTGACACAACCATTGCAGCCTCCCCATGGTCATGTGATCAAAATTCAGCCGTTTGACAACTGACTCATATTTATGACGATTGCAGTGTCCCAGGGTTATCTCTGCAACCTTCTGGTAAGCAAAGTCAACAAAAAACCAGATTCACATGTTACCAACTTAACAACTGCAGTGATTCAGTTAACAACTGTGGCAAGAAAGGTCATAAAATGGAGCAAAAACTCACTTAACAAATGTCTTGCTTAGCAGCAGAAATGTTGATCTCAATTGTGGTTGTCAGTCAAGGACTACCTGTATTCCTCACACTAGAACCCATTGGGACATGGCTGCTTCTTTCTAATAGATCCCATTGAGAAGATTAACCTTCTCAAGACCATCAATTAATATTTCTTTTTCAATAATATACCCCCACGCTTAGTGATCCCAGAGTGTTCCAATGTACTACATTGTGGTTTTCAAATAGATCGAGCATCCAGAAATCTTGCAGAGATGGTTTTCAAAAGAACTGATGCCCATGCAAAATGATGATAAATTGCTAGCTAAAAATTGTGCTGACCTGATTTGAATCATCATAATAACGCATGTTTCTTGGCTTCACCATGGAAGTTCACAAACTATTTTGCTCCTCCCAATAGTGTCAGGAATCCTCTTTCAGACTTTTAGCCCCCTCTGGTGGTTAAATGCTCCTTTACTCCATGTGTCACACTCATACCAAAGGAAGCCTCTTTACTTTCTTTAAACCATTTCTTGTTTTTTCTTCCAGCAGCTGCAGGTGGTTCCTTTATTCGGCGATATGCAGATAGAGCTGGCCAGATACATTAAGACCAGTGCTCACTATGAGGAGAACAAATCCAAGTGAGTGCCTGCCATAATGTCTCTTGGCTTTGGTGTGTCTTAGTCTACTCTTCCACTTGTGTGTAAGCTCAACTGAGTGACTGCCTGTGAGCCTGTGTCTGAGTGATTAAATGACTGATAAGAATGAGTGCTTTGCTAAGGTTTTATGTCACAATATGATTTCTTATTTTCTCTTTACTGTATCTTGAAAGACACTGATTTTACCAATTCTCTACAGTTAAATGTAGCTTACCTCCCTGAAATAAATGCATTCTTCATTGGTTCCCTAGCCAGATCTATCAGTAAGCTTTAAAAATGAAATGGAAAGGGGGGGGGGGTCCTTGGTGCTCTCTGAGTTTGCTTGTTTTCTTGCAGACATTTCATTACTCAAACTAGGTAACATCATCAGCCAACAGCCAACAGATCAGCCAAAGAATCTCTAAGACCACCAACACTGACAGGCAAGCCACTAGATTATAAACTGCACCTCCTTACTAGTCTGATGATGTTGCTTAGTTTGGTTAATGAAACATCTGCCAGAAAACAAGCAAGCTCAGAGAGCACCAAAGACCCCTCATGTCAACCCTGGGCTTCAAATATTCCCCTTTATTAGTGAAATGGAAAGATAACTCATGCAGACAGCACAGCCTTTTAAATGTTGATTCCTCAAGTGACTGCCACTTTTGAAATTAAATGTTCTTCAACCTTAATCTGCCTTCTCTGGTATTTTCTGGTTCTTAGACATCCCAACATCTCAGGCTGTGATCTTGAACTGATTGAGTGCCTAAAATCCCCCCCCCCCTTTTTTTAAATTTATTAAGGAATCAATTCAAGAATAATTCTAGAATTGCTCTGAAGATTCAATTAAATCAGATTATTATTTTACCCCAGTCTGCTTGGCTGCACAGAGATATTACCTTCTGGTGACAAATCCAGGGATGCAACTATTGAAGATTTATACCAAGTATAAGACTTATACTTTTGCCTTATACCAACACTTTTCAACCTCAGTGAACTCTGGCTACCATTCAACATTCGTGCATTCCTAGAGTTTTCCCCTAAGTCAGGCAGATTTTAAAATCCCTTACTTCTTCCTTGCTATTTCCATCTTAATTTCAGTTTCAAATCTCATCCGGTCCTTTTGGGTAGTAAGGGATGCCCTGATATTAAAGATCTTTTTAATCCAAGCAAGGATGTAGATTACCTTCCTCAAACACTCTGAATGTTCACCAGTCAGGCTGGCTAAATGTCTCTAACTAGCAAATTGTTCATAAATTATAGCCATAAAGATGTGTCTTTGGCGATACGGGGAAGTGATTGCTAGAACTGAGTGCAGATCAATAATTTGCACTGACAGTTTATATGTATATGGTGGGCAATATCTGAATACCTGTGTACTGACTGAGAGGTATTGATGAAGATGGAAAGGAATGATTGGATTTGTGCAAGTATATACATGTGAAGTACACTTACATGGCAGAAAAATGGATATGGGTGATGTGTAGGAGTAATGATATACATTGGGAATATGATTGCATATATTAAATTCTGTGTCTGTACTTGTATGTTGACTGTTACTTGTTTGCGTGCTTGGCAGTTGCGAATGTAGGTATGAATGCTCATCCTGTGAACGTGAATGTGACCGAGTGTGCCTGCTCTGGGTAATTTTTATCCACATTTTTCAATTGGATAGAAAATCCTCCAGAGCATGAACACAGCACTCTATCTGTCCAGAAGGATTCTCAGATTGGTTTTTAGACAGGATAACAAAAGAAATATAGCATAAACTCGAGTTACTTCAAACTGGAATTGTTTTCAGTGGAATTGTTCATAGTTCATGTTCATTGTTCCTGTCAACCTTGGGGAGCCTTTTCAGTGGTAGCTTAGAGAGGATGGGTTTGCTTGTTTATTTATTACATTTTGATGCTGCCCATCTCCTCTATAAGGATCCTGGTCAATGAAATCACAATTAAGGGTTGAACTATGACCACCTATCTTGATATGGAATTCTGGGAGGCAATGCTGTCCCGTTGTATTTCAGGCAGCCTCTCTTGTAACTATTTCTAGGCATGAAGGTTAAGTGTTGCAGTTCAATTTATTGTAAGATGTAAATCCAAGGTGGCTCAACCATACGAAGATCACAAAATTGAACGTGATGCATACCTCTCAGTTGACAGTTTCACTTTCCATTTCACTATACAACTTGGTGATTTTATTTTAGGATAACTACCAAGATTCAAACCAAATAAACAGTTTCGGTTTCTCAGATTTAGATCAGAATGCCAGCCGTCACAGAGTTATTGCTAATAAGAGACAATCACTAATTACTGCAAAAAAAATCTGGTTATAATTGGACTTCATCAGTGGAATTCATGGTGTTCATTGGGTGCATATTTATTTCATTTTATGGTATCTGATTAATGGTTTCCATACTAGCATAAATGTGTATGTTGTTTCTCACTTATCATTATAACCTTTATTTCTATTGCCAAAATAAGTTGGATTTTAAACTCAGCCCAGTCCATGGAAGTATTTAACAATGTGTGTTTAAATCCCATTTCTAATCTATCCTACTCCATCCCAATAATCAAACTATGAACTATTTCTTCCACTCATCTTTACTTACTAACAATTATTTTCTTATTCAGTTTCTAAGCAGAGCAGTATCGCCTCCTGTGCCTCTTTCTCCTTCCTTGGAGAAGAGATTATGAACACTATCTTGGCTGCACAACAATTGTGGGGGTTTTATGTTCCTGCACATTCATACCTTTCTTTTCCTTTTTGTCTCCCTAATTCATTCCCATCCTTGTGGTGAGATATAATTAACTGTTGTTTTTTTTTCTTGTATGGCCTTTTAATTTTGTGTAATGGAATAGATTATATATAGCAGGTTGGGCTAGTACAGCAAAATATCTGATCACCACTGATAACCTGTTGATGATTTCTTTGGGGAACATACACTGGAAGGGTAAGAGCAAAGTATTGGATTTCTGGAAATATAATAGGACCTAATAATCACTGTCAATATAATTAAGAGAACTGCATCTACTTCAATATTACCAAGAATATCTAGTCCCAATGAGATTTTAAAATATCCATTCTTTCAAAATAAGCAGCAAATTTTGAATAGGATAGTTGGCACCTCAAATAGCCTGCGTAAATACTCCTTTGTGACATTTAAGTAGAAGTCAGGTTTATTTGCTACATTTAGGAATAAATCATAGTCATGTAAAAGAAGAAGAATGAATGGCTAAGTTCAAACTTTATGGAAAATCATGTTTAAGATGGGTCATTATTGATGTCATCTTAAATGGAGAAATGGTGAATCTATAACTAAGATTTAGAAATTCTAATTTGAGAACTTTATAAAGCATTTGCTACTTATTATGATTCTGTGTACTATCTGAATAGATGAATCATAGCTATAGACCTTGCTCTGGCAGCCAGGAAAAGGAAACTATTCTAAACTATGGTTTGCTATTATTATTAGGGTAGCCAGTTGTATCAAATCATTTTTGTCCCTTATTTGTTTCCTAATTCAATTTTTAACTTTTTTTTGCTGATATTCTTCTATAGTGGCCTAGACCTAGAACAGGGGTATCAAACTCGCTTTGTCATGGCGGTGTCACATGTTGTATCATGACTTTTTTTCCCTTTGCTAAACCAGGCATGGGCGTGGCCAGCGTGTGACACATCTGGTCGACGGGCCGCGAGTTTGACAGCCTTGACCTAGAATGTTATAAATGTATGTTAAATAGACCCCAATTTTTGATTCTACACATCTTTTGTTCACAGTATATATAGTTTCTTAAAGACCAGTCGTCAAATTCCATCATACACTTATTGAGTCAATAATTCTGTTTGTCGTCTATGGATTTGCTACCGTAGTTTTACCACAAACATAAAATAAGTAAAATAAACATATCAAGTGTAGGATAAATTATGAAATTAAAAAAACATATCTACTCCAACAACTATAGTTTTCAGTTGTCAGTTACTGGGTGATGCACCATATCAAAAGACATTGGACCAAGTGAGATATTAGTGGACCAGTGGACCAAAGTTATCTTGAGTAATAACCGTAGAGTCAGAAATGAGTGTTAACTTAAAGACATTGGTTTTCTGCCCAGATGGACATGCACTCAGAGCAGCATCAGTCCACAGTATAACATCTGTGAGCAGATGGTACAGATCCGAGATGATCATATCCGGTTTATCTCTGAACTTGCTCGCTACAGCAACAGTGAGGTAAGCTTCCGCGGAGGCATGTGTTATACAATCCATGTGTGAAGGAATAAATGTTGAGTGTGTTCTATGGGCAATTCATGATTACTCTGTTTCTGTGTTTGATTATGGTGCTGGAATGCAAATAGCTTGCCTCTTGGAGATTCAGGTGACGAATGTCCATTTCTGTCTATTCCAACCAATAGCAGCTCTCCAGATATTCAGAGTAGAAAGATTTTCCTCATTCAAAACTATGTAACTCTCTCTGTTCTTCTGTTTCAGAGATACAGTCTGCAGTCCAATTTTTATTTACTGTTTTGCATAGAAAAGTATATAATGCAATAGCCCAGGGCCGTGTGCAGTCCTGGAATGCCCTGTATGCTGCCTGCAAATGTTTTCAAAGGTTGCCTTTAAATTGTAAATTTTAAAATGTAGATGGTAGGGAAAAATATTAAAAAATAATCTTTGTAATTCTGTTTAATTGATTTTTTTTCAATTAAACTTAAATATTGGTTAAACCAAATCAATTTTCATCTTTGTCCAAATCCCATCTACTTATTTGAATTGTGGATCTGTTATACAACTGAGAATAAATACGAACCTCCTGAAAACAATTAAAAATCCCTAGGTATTCCTTGGCCTCCCAAATTCCAAATTGCTTTTAGTGCTTTCAGATTATGTACTGTTGCGCATTGTTTAAACCGACCACCTGTGTAGCTTGGATATCTACAGCCTTTCCCATTTCAAACTTTAAAAATAATTCACAATTAGTCAGTGGGAAGATGATTACCTGCACAATAGCGGTCACTATACTACACAGTAAATTTGCATATATGAACCCAAAGGAAAAGTTATCCTTGAATTTCTCTTTTATAGGAACTAGATATTTACTGTTAGTCAAAGTGTCTCCAAAAGAATTCAGTGATAATTGCAATAATTAAGAAATTCAGGTGTTGGTACTTCTGCATTTTTCTCTGAGGTTCTTCCTAGTTTTATTTGAACGTGTAGGAAACTGGATTAGTTTTTATAATTGAGTGTTATCTTTGAACTATATTGTTTGGGATACGTAGGTGAAGGACTAGAATATGAAACTGATTAGAGGAATCATGTCATTTTGATGTTAGCTATTTGTATATTTTATCTCGGCAACTTTCCAGCAATTCTGGGTTTGTAAACCATCCAGAGTCACTGATTGAGATGGACGGTTATAAAAATTGAGTAAATAAATCAATAAATTAATTTCTCAGTTCTTCCCCTCATTCCCTAGCCATCAATTAACTCTTGTTGATGAATGTTTGCAATGTCTTGCTCAATTAATGAAAACAGCAACATGAAGCAACTAAAGGAAAAGATTCCTGAGTGTGACAATTGTCTACTCCTTTTCCAGGTTGTAACTGGTTCAGGATTGGACAGTCAGAAGTCAGATGAAGAATATAGGGAGCTTTTTGACCTGGCTTTAAGGGGACTTCAACTTTTATCAAAGTGGAGTGCACATGTGATGGAAGTGGCAAGTATTTTTTTTTCTGATATATTTAAATATTGATTTTAAGGTAAAGCTGCCTTCAGCATAAGCCAGTCTCTTGAACATGTTTCAATTTACTTTCCTTAAAAGGTTTGCAATAATCAAAGTGTTATTTAAAGATGTGTGTGCCTATGTACGGTTTAAAAACCTAACTTAAAGAAAACAGAATCTACATAATCAGTATGTTGGATTTTGCCAATTAGATTTTCGGTGTTTTTTCCCCCTTTGAAGTATTCTTGGAAGCTGGTCCATCCCACGGATAAGTTCTGTAACAAAGATTGTCCAGGCACTGCTGAAGAGTATGAGAGAGCTACACGATACAATTATACCAGTGAGGAAAAGTTTGCTTTTGTGGAGGTAGGTGACTATATCCCTCATTTTTGCCCAGGGTAGGATGACTGAAGCAATCTTACAGAGTTTACAGAGTTTATAGATTAACAGAGTTGGAAGGGACCTTGTAGGTCATCTAGTCCAACCCCCCGCCCAAGCAGACTATACACGATTTTTGACAGATGGCAGTCCAGTCTCTTCTTGAAAGCTTCCAGTGATGAAGCTCCCACAACTTCTGAAGGCAAGCGGTTCCATTGGTTAATTGTTCTCACTGTCAGAAAGTTTCTGCTTATTTCTAGATTGAATCTCTCCTTGTTCAGTTTCCATCTATTATTCCTTATCTGGCCTTTGGGTGCTTTAGAAAATAGCTTGACCCCTTCCTCTCTGTGTCAGCCCCTCAAATATTGGAAGACTGCTATCATGTCTCCCTTGGTCCTTCTCTTCATTAGACTAGCCATGTCCAGTTCCTGTAACCGTTCTTCATGTGTTTTAGCTTCCAGTCCCCTAATCATCCTGGTTGCTCTTCTCTGCACTCTTTCTTGTGTTGAAATGGAATATTGGAGGATCCAGACATTGCTGTCTTCAAATTAAAATTGTCCTGTTTTCCCCACTTGTTCTTGTATTCTGGTATGCAGACAAAATTCACTCAAATCCAGGGCTTCCAGGATAGCACTGGAAGAGTGCCTTTGGGATGCTGTCCTGAGATTGCATGTGAATGGGCCTGGTGTAATTAAAAGAGTCACAGTGACTATTTTTATTCTACGTAGGTTATTGCTATGATCAAGGGCCTGCAAGTGCTCATGGGTCGCATGGAGAGCGTCTTCAACCAGGCTATCAGGAACACAATCTATGCTGCTCTACAGGACTTTGCTCAGGTGACCCTGAGAGAGCCCCTGAGGCAAGCAGTCAGGAAGAAGAAAAATGTCCTCATCAGGTAACTTAATCGGATTCAGTGTCGCTTCCTAAAAGTTTTGTAAATACTTGGACTTTATTTTTAATATTGTTTTCTGCACACCT